GCAATGTTGCGACGGTTATACTCCTCAAGGTAGGTGCTATATAGTCAGAGCACAAAATGGAACGATCTTTTGCTAGCAGTCTGTCCCATCCCCATAATTTCTCCAAGAAAACTTTCAGACAAGTAGAAATCATCGTCAGATACGGTGGCATAAACTTGATTTATGTTTGTCGAACAGATGAAAAAATAACAAGGAAGGAAATAAAATAATCACTACAATAGCAAGCAAGGAGAGTGAAGGTGGAAGGAATGCTAAACTTCAATTACCATGGTACTTGACAATACTTGACGGCGGCCTCTCCTTCCTGTATCTACCGTCCTTCTTATCCTCCTCCATCTCCTTGATCATACTAGTAAAATAGTTCGTATCTGCCTCTTCTTTCCTGCGCTTGGCCTCCATCTGCTTCTTCGAGAAGTCGTCCAAACGCCTGCGCTTGGCCTCCATCTACTTCCCCGTGTCGTCCAAACGCAAGGAGCGCTCTGATCGTGCCTCGGCTTCAAAGTTCCCGCAGAGATGACCCCGGTCTGACTGATCTAGGGTTTCCTTCCCGTGGACAGGGATGGAAAAGGATGGGGAGGAAGAAGAGGCAGATACGGACTACAGTATTTTACTTGATCGGCCACGGCCGTCGGATGCTATTAAACAGACAAGATCGAATACGTTTGCGTCCCTGATTTTACTTTCGCCGGCGATTAGTCTGCTTTCTTGCGCCGGCCGGCCTAATTAAGCAGAGGAGGAGGAGGGATTCGAACAGGGGCAGATCCAGTAAGGTCGATCCAAATAGTGCAGTGCAGCCGGATCATCAAGAAGCCTAGTTGTTGGTCCGATCAGCCATGACAAAGAAAAGACGTCGTCCCAGACGTCGCAATGTAAGTACTGTTATTACTGTTGTGCCTGATTGGTATTTGTACATACGTACTTCACACGAAAGGAAAGGTTCTTCCTAAAAGGGCCGATTATCCGTTGTTCCAGGTAAACGCAGCACAGCAAGCAACTCGCAACAAAGACGCCGCCGGCAGTGCGGAAGAAGACGGAGACAGGCTTAGCGAGCTGCCCAACGACCTTCTGCTCAACATTCTGGAGAGGGCGGACACGCTGGACGCAGTAAGGGCCTGCGTCCTCTCGAGGCGAATGATGAAGCTCATCACCATGCTCTCGCGGTTCTTCCTGAGCTGCAGTTCCGTTCCAGGCCACCATGACAGTGCTCGTATTTTCGACCCCGCTGAATTTTTCAGAATCAACAGTGCCATGGCTCATGTGACGGATAACATCTTGCGCACAAGGAGCCCGGAGATCACCATCAGCAAGCTCCAAATCAGATTCATCCTGACGCAACGTGATTCTTACATGATTGGCGAATCCGTCGCCCGCGCCATGGCAACGCAGAGTTTCAGATCTTGACAGAGAAGGCTTATTTGGAGTGCTCTCCTGCCGATCTTCTCGACCATGCCAAGAAGTTCAATGGTTTTCTCGGTGCTTGCCCGGATGCGTTCGCTGGCCTCAGGCGCCTGCGTCTGCGCAACATGAGGTTTGCTGAACCGGACATACCCAATATCCTCAGCGCTTGCAAGCTCTTGGAGTCTTTGCATCTGACCCACTGCGACTCGGGGAAGAATTCCGTGCTGCGGGTAGAACATGATCAGCTTACTGAGCTCAAGGTCGAGGTTGGGAAATTTGAGATAGTTGAGCTGGCATGTCTACCAAAACTCCAACAGGTGAGCTATAACAATTGGTTCAACTCTCATAAAGATCCCCTGTATTTTGGTTTTGTACCACAGCTTTCAAAGTTGTGGCTTGCTAAAACGGGCCGCCGATCGACTAGGACTCTTCAGTTAAGCCAGCTCCTTGGTAATGTTCCTTCCATAAGCGATCTGCATCTGGATTTTCAAAGTGAAAAGGTACTGATTAATCATTTGAATTATATATATGTAAATGACAATAGTAGCTTAAGTTGGTCTTCTCCGCCGATTGAGAATGTGATTTATGCAACTTGCACTCACAGTTTGTAAATTGTTTCTTGTTTCCCAGATTTGGGTTCTGCCAGAAAGCCCGAAGCTGCTCAAGCCTGTGCTCAACAAACTACAGCGTTTCAATCTGGATAATCTTCCTGAAGGATGTGATTTAGCTTGGACAATGTTTATTCTTGAAGCTGCACCGTCCCTAAAAGAGATGTGCATCACGGTATGGGAACATTGGTGCAATAGGGTGATGAGAAACAAAGAGTATCAGGAGAGAAATGGTTACTGTGAAAAGGCAGACATGGAGTGGAAGCCACATGCCCCTGATTTCAAGCACAAGAACCTGGTTAAGCTCACCATCTACGGCTTCCAAGCAGACGACATCTTTGTGCGATTCATCAGGTGTGTCATAAAACATGCAGTTAATATGGCAGAGATATCCCTGCATGACAGGAAGGTGTGTCTGCACTGTGGTGACTTGGATCCCAAGATGAAGTGCCCATCGAGATATCCATGGAACGCTGATGAGCACGTGCAGATCATTGAAGAATTGGGGATGTCTTTGCCTGCTATGGTTCACTTCCTGTCATAATTGGAAAAAAAAAATGCTGTTTGTAAGCCCTCTGAACTCAGTAATTTCAGTAGTTATTGCGCTTGTACTCTTGCTTCCTCTTAAATTGAAGCTATGTGAACTGTTGGCTAATGGAGGAAATATTTAGTAAATTTTCTGAGTATTCTGGCATTTGTGAATGCTTCCTTTAGGATAAGTTCATAGATACGCGGCTCCGTTTAGAGGTTAGAACCAAGTGCCCTTGATGTGTTGGAACAAGCTGACATGGTCACCTGTCTTTATGCGTACCAGTGTGGAAATAATAGTGGGGTAATGCATTGCGTTCTTAAGTAAATGGTAAGGGAAAGCAACATGGTTGCCTTCTTACAAAAGAAACCTACTAGTAGATTTTGTGTTTTGGAATATGGAGCCTCAGGTCGGGCAGATTATTACAGCAGCTATTCTTTAAATATCCAAACTTAACTGAAGCAAAAGCTAGAAAACCTCGCCATACAGCAAGATGAAAACTATCGTGGCCACGTAGTTGTTATAGCAATAGCTCAAATCACTAGTGTCATTGCTCTGTACGTCAAAGATAACACATATAGCCAGGAGGATCCACAAAGCATAATTTGTTTGGGAACTCAACGCTAGTGTCATTGAAACTTGTTTGTGATAGATTGGTGGTGTTTATCTGTAGCCAAGTGATCTAGGTATAATTTCAAGAGTTCTGACTGGGGCACTCATTTGCCTACAGAATCATGAGCGTGGGCAAATTCAAGTGAACCTGCATCACCTGGGCAACCACCAGTTCTACGTCGCCAAGCTCTTCAGGATGACGACCCGCCGCCAAGGCGGGGGCTGCTGCGGCTGCCGCTGCTGCAATGATCCCAAGGAGAAGTGTTTCGCAACGCTCACCGGCATGGAGGTTGCGGGCGACGACCACGCCGGCAAATGGCATCACATGATGAAGCACAGATCTCTCCAGGACTACTTGGGTGAACACTTCTCTGGGTTGTTACTGGCTTGAGAATTTGGAAATTTATCACTGTCTATTTTTTTGAGTTTGATCACTGTCGACTAAGGTTGGTTAAGAATGGTCAGTTTTGGAGACTATGCTAACTCAAACCTCTCCTGTACTTTGAAACAGAGAGAATGTTAATGATTAATTGAAATTCGTTTTTGTTGTGTATAGTTTTTCTTTCCAAATTTCATCTCTTTGGTTTTCCACATATGTGTAAAGTAACAAGAGCATGTAGAGGATTCTGATGGAGCAAGAATAAATGCACACATTCATGTAGTGCCAAGGCAAGCAAATGCAGCAATGTATGGATAGATAAATAAAATGCACAAACATAGAAGTGACAAAATTAAGAGTGAAAAGGGAAACATACAAGCCAAGAAGGGTGAAAATTGAGAACCTGAGAAAAATGGCATAAATGTAGTAGAAGTGTAGAACAGTTCGGCTGGGAGTCTACCATTCTATCAAAATCTAAAGCACCTGCTAAGTGTGTTCATGCAATTTGGAAATCTAAAGCAACCTTATTACCTTTAATGGGCTCCACTGCAGTGACTTGGAGGCGTTTGTATTGATGACAGTTCAGGGTTAACCTAATCCTTCTTACTGGTTCAGCCAACATCTCATTTCTTGTGCAAACAGGCAACAAGCACACACACACAACTTTTTGGAATGCTCAAGGTCCTGACGACACGATTTTCAGTACTGACAAAATATAAATAGCACCAGTAACATCTTTACATACTGCCCAATTTAACTTAGAAAAAAAACATACTACCCCACTGGAAACTGTTTCCTGAGTTGTACCAGCTGCCAGCACAGGGCCACTGTTAAAAAGGTTTGGACAAAACAACACAAGGCTTGAAACAACTTTTATCACTGGTTCAACACACCAATTTAGTCTTCACCGGACCAGTAGGGATCAAAGGCCCTAGGTGATACACACACAAGATGATAGACTGCACAAAATTGAAAACAAAACATCAGTTTGATTTTATGATTGATACCTTCATTAATTCAATAGGAATTTCTGGTTGACTGGACAGGATTATTTTTTTTGAAACAGAGAGAACTAACGTAACATGAATGTATTTATCAGAGAACATAGATCAGGAGGTTAGCTGAAACTTTTGTTTAATTATCCAAGTACATAGACTTCCAAGTGTACCATTGACAGACCTCAATACTAAAAAGACTCAGCTTTCAGTTAAGAGTTGCGGCTGACATGTTGGTTTGCCCAGTTTTATTATGCGAGAACAAGAGATTCTCTGATAAGCAAATTGGTCACAAATTCCATACAAAACTAAAACAGTCAACAATAGGAGATTCATATTAAAATGGAAGCCAGTAATAGGAGCATAAAAGCAAAGCAGAGAGCAACTGATGTACAAAAGCAAGGAGTATGAAGCATGAAGAACACCAATAAGTTAGCTTACAACCTTCTGGCCTTGGGATCTTCTTGAAACTGATGTTCTCAGTAAGTACACCATTTCTAGTCATGATCTTCACAATTTGGTTGACCTTATCCTTGACCCTTAGTTTCTCTTCACATTCAATGCTGACTTCCTGAAGATGCACACATGAAAATGATTGCTCTATTCGAACATGTTTTCTTTCACCTCGGGCTGCACTTAACAAATTCTGCAGGACACAAGCCATTTTAGTAAGATCAATAAAATACACATGATCTATTCATTAGTAGAGTGGTCCAGAGAATCTACCCAGTCGCTACGAAGCTGGAGAGTGAGCTTTTCAAGAACTGGCGTGTGCTGCAGAATGCGAACTAGTGCATGCAGGTCAGTAGCCCTGCACCACATGTCGAGTAAAAGAGTCTTCAATCTGCCAAATATGGGGCAACATTCCAAATCCCTTTTGTAGATATACTGGACAAATTGCACAAGTACAAGAAATCAGAAATTCAAGTTTTCAAGATTTTAAAGGAAAATAATTGAGTTTACTAGAAACTCTGGGCAGATATTTTAAATTCACAAATAAAAAGAAAGATCACAGAATTACACCTCAAGTCTCTAAACTATCCAATTTGTATAATCATGCATCCATTTAATTAAACCCAATGATCTAAAGGTGCACTTCAATAAAAATAATTAGTTGAGGGATCGTATCAAGAAAACAACACTATAAGGGCTTGACTGGACAAAGTACTACAACAGTTAGTGCCTTAAAAGTGTAGTTTTGACATGCAATGAGAAGTGTTCATAACCCATTATGTCTAAGTTTTTCTGCATCTAAACATGGATATAAGAAATTGACAAGTACTCAGCCTAACATTTCAAAACTGCAATGCTGTAAGAAAATGCAGGTATAATCAGCAGTGTAAGATAATTTATCCTAATCAACAGAAACTAATAAAAATGTATGTCATTAGAAACTAATTAAAGGAAGTACCAGGTTATTTAAGTATGCGTTTATGCATGTCTAACAATCAATAGAGATATTGGTTTATAAGAGAAACTGTGGGTTGCAAATGACAGGAAAAGAAGATACAGAAGAAGTGAAAGCAAAGCATACCACTTCAGGTTGATCTTTCAACTCCAAATTTACAGCATTGGACAAAGTATTCAAAAGGACACTATGATAACTCCCAGCAGGATAACCATGACAACCTTCACAGCTTGGATCACCACCACAACCCCGACACTTATCATTGCATCGACCAGAAAGGTCAAGGGACGCTGTATCAAGCAATGGCATGCTTTCAAGCAAAGGAGTCTTGCCTCCACTGTCATGCAGACGCAGTGAAACAAGACTGGGTGCAGAAATACAAACACGATACGCCTCAGGGAAGTTGCATTCAGTAAGCCACAAACGCTTTAGCGATGGAAACGACATCTTGCGCACCCAAAGGCCACAGTGCTGCATCTTCAGTTCTTCTAACATTGGACAGCTTGAAAAATCAACAAAATCCTTTTCCACCAGAACATGATGAACTTCCAGGCTCCTCAGGTGCTGGGAGATGAGAGGCACGATGAGCTCAGTTTCCGCTCCCACATCATCACCAATGATTTTGAGAACCTGAACCTTGCACAATAGAGCATATTGGATCCACGAATCAAAGTATATGTTTGGCAAGGGTTCATCAGGTTCACCAGCATAATCATCACTGGTTGGATAGGCTTGGATCTCGCAGCTGACAAGAGGTAAATGGCCACGGAGGGAAATGAGATGGTTCACAAACTTGTCGAAATCCTCGGCGCTGGTGAACCTCTTCTTGTTGGGACCTAGGAGGCGCAGGACAGGTATGTGCTTCCAGAGGTATCGCCACCGGCGGGCCAGCACAGATGTCTGCACGGCCTCATGCACCGGCAACAAGGAGAGCACATGGTGGAGGAGCACATCTGGGAGTTCACTGATGCGGTCCTCACTGGTCACCACAGCCTTCTTCCGCATTCCTTCAAACTGGTTGCGGTTGCGGGCAGCACAGCGGTTCTGCAGGAGCCAGAAAATAATGAGCAGGGACCAAGAGAGAGAGAGAGAGAGATGAGAGAAAATATGTGGAATTAGGGTCGCATCACCTCAACTCGACGGTCGGTTGCTACTTTGCTCCAGCCACCAACAGCAGTGAGAGAGCAAGATGACTCAGTGGTTGACTCCATTTGCCTATCAACAGCAGCAAACCATTGTTACAATAAGAGATTAACATGTCCAAAGGATTCCCAGTTCCTAGTGGAGTAATGCATTACAAAGTCTTCAACATGAGTCAAGTAAGAATAAAAAGATTCAAACATATTCTACACACAAATTCTTCAAACATGTTCTCCATGGACCAACTAAGCACATAGCTGACGTGGAGTTACTGACATGGTGCACTCCAGTGCTTAGCAAGAAGATAGCTACGGCTGGTCAGCTTCATTGGATGCATATGCCCGCTTAATACTTCGTCACTTCTCACATGGTTCAAATATGTAATGATTTTTGTGAGCAAGATGGCAGGAGAAAGTAATGATGCGATAGGAGAACATGGTACACACAGTCTGCTAGATCAAAACCAGATGCATCTGCATGG